TTATGTATAATCAACTATTTCGAGTCGGTAAGCTTTCTTCATTTAATTTTGTTATTTTTTTTCATGTAATTTTGTCATGAATTTATCTAACACGTGTTGTGGTTTATTTTGTTAGCCGGAGAAAAACGGTTGGAGAAGTTTGATCGTCAAGTTGAGCAATTTAAGAAGGTGGCCGCTGATAGAAATATTTCATGTGATAACTGGGTGGATCAACATCAGATTCGTTGGAGTTTAGCACATGATAACTACAATGGTGGGGGTCGTTGGTCTATCCTGACATCCAACATGGCAGAAAGCGTCAATGGTGTTTTCAAAGGTATTCGTGCACTTCCGATAGCTTCTCTTGTGCAGCATACCTATTGGCGATTGGTGGAGAAATTCGATATGTATAGGTTGGAGACAGGAGCAGAAATTAGAAGTGGCGGTTCACAGTACTCCACCAAGTGCGAAGAGCTGATGAAGTACAGGTCACAAAAGGCAATTGGACATTCTGTGGCAGCTCTTGATCGAGGTCAAGGCATCTATGTAGTTCAGACTCCTCCCAACAATTTCAACATGACAGGGTCAAACACACTCACAGTTCACTTTGACGATCAAAACCGGGCAGGATTTTGCACTTGTGGTAAATTTCAAGGAAATAAAATTCCTTGCTCTCATGCCATTGCAGCTTGCAACCGAATGGGGGCTAATGCGTATAGGTTTGTCAACAATGTCTACAAGCTGGAAACAGTGATGGCTTGTTATGGGACAAGTTTCGCACCTCTTGGTGAACCTAAGGGTTGGAAGAAACATAATGGTCCTATTCTCCATCCTAATGTGCACATGATTAGGAAGCCGGGGAGGCCACGAGTTACAAGGATCCACAACGAGATGGACTGGCCAAGGGAGGGTGCATGACACCAAGTGTGCAGCAACTGTAACCAAGCGGGACATAATGCATCAACTTGCGGCGGCCAAGCTAGTAGGAGTGGGAGCAACCGAGGAGGGAGTGGTGGCCAACGAAGTACGAGAGGTGGTAGAAGAGGAAGTAGAGGTAATAGACGTGGCTGAGAGGTGGTAGAAGTTGTTATATTTCTTTTGATTTACCATGTAAAAGTTGTTGTTTGTTTGAGATGTTGTTGTTTGGTATGTTGTTGTTATCTTTTGATTTACCATGTAAAAGTTGTTTGTTTGAGATGTTGTTGTTTGAGATGTTGTTGTCTGTTTATAGTACATAATAATAACAATCCAAAAATAATAGTCTAAATATAGTACATAATAATAACAATCCTCAAATAATAGTCTAAATGAAGTACATAATAATAACAATCCAAAAATAATAGTCTGAAGGAAGTACATAATAATAACAATCCAAAAATAAACGTCTGAAGGAAGTACATAATAATAATATTCTCACTGATGATCACCACGACGACCACCACGACGACCACCACGACGACCACCATGCTCCACCGCTAGATGGCCGCCAGTACCACACCTAGCAGGCACCCTGATGCGCACTGGTCTACCATCATACTCCTGGGGCTCATCTTCCTCAACTCCACCATCCTGGTCCTGTGTACCGAACATCTCATCCTGCTGAGACTGAAGATGCTCATCAGGCTGACCGCCACCACTACGCTGAGACTGAAGGTGCTGCTCATGGATCCACATCGTCTCCCTAAACACCTCATCACCCTCTTGCCACAGGTCGGGAGTCGCCGCTGCTCTAGTATCACCACCTGATGCCATGTTTCCCATCGTAGCATGCTGCGGTGTATGGAAGCTATCCTCTGGCTGATAGAAGCTCGATGACGGATCTGACTGAAACTGCTGTCGTCGCGGCGGCTGAAAGCTCGAGGAAGGATCTGACTGAAATTGCGTCCGAGGCGGATTAAACTGGAAGCTCCTCGATGTAGGCCGGATGGGCTGTGCTCGCTGTCGATCGGAAACCCGAAATGGGTTAGGTGCATCACGATGCTCACGTCTCTGTCTACGTGGCCTATGCTCCTGTCTGAACTGTGGCTCTGGGACGACCCAGCCCGGTGTCGGATCAGTACGCTCTGGCCAGGCAGTCATGACGGGCCCCTCATAATGGCGCTGTACAGGTACTGTGAGATCAGGGTATCTACGATCCTCAAACCCTAGAGCAGCAACCCCGGATGCCATAAAGTTGGCCAAGTCCTCACACTGGTCGGGGGTCAGCCCTCCAGACCGTACACCGTCACGCAAACTCACCTCAGCATGCTCGATAGTGTCGTACTAAAAAACACCAACAAAAATGTCAGATATTTCACACAATTAACAACAAATTAAGCAAATAAATCAAATAACTAACCAACGCCTCTGCTGCAGCTCCTCTCCGTGTGCCGGATCGTCTGGTGACATCTCTATACCACTCCATATGCTCCGAGTGGTAGGCTAACTCCTCATCAGTATATGGAGCCGTCGCTACAAACTCGTGTCGACGGTTCCAGAAAGCAATCGACTCTCTGGAGGCGTGTACCAACTGCTGCCCACGCGATGGCCCACGAGTAGCCTGGCGAAGAAAAAACCTAACCTCAGCCTCAGAATGTGGCTGATGAGGCTCATGCTGTCTCATGCCAAACTGCCGGAGCACGCGGTCTGGATGATGCCACATCACCGATGAAAAGCAGATAAGTGGCACTACTGCTCGAAATGTCTCCGACTGTAGCACACTACCTCTGAGATGAAGTGCTCTCTCAAAGTAAGGTTGCCACTACATTAAATCCAAAAATTATCGTTATTATCCCTAAATCTTAAAAAATAAAACAAATGAAAACTATTATATAAAATGAAATGTTATATACTAACCACCACGGTGTCCATCGCGTCAAACCACAGCTTGTACTGGAATAGCTGGTCACCATACTGACGACTGTTGGCCGAAAGCCATCGAAGACCACGTGGGAATTCATCCTCGGTGGCCTGTGCCCTCGTCTCCTCGTCTCGAGGTGCCAGATGTGGGAATCGCTCCCACGCCCAAAACTGCAGTAGGGCGACCCATCCACCAAGGTCACCGCTAAGAGAAGTGCCGGTATGCGTAATGTGCAAAGTCGACCTACCCATCTCACGGTACAGGTAGGATAAAACAGCAGCTCCCCAGGCAAACCGTCCAGCTCTCTCCCAATCCTCAATCAGAAGTAGGTACTGTAGGTGCACCGTACTTCCAGACCGATCCGAGAAAAGTACACCTCCAAGCAGAGATAGAGCATAAGCTCGTGCAAACTGCTCTATAACCTCCTGTGATGCATTCTCCGGCAGATGACTGAATTCAACCCTCAGCCAAACAATCCTAACAACAGCGACACTGCCTACAAGATCGGCCGGAACTCGTCCCAACAGTCTCAAACAGATCGCCGACCACTCCTCATCCGGTATATCAACTACGACGGCATCACCGTCGATCGCCAGACCGGACAGTGTAACAACGTCCTCTAACGTGATCGTCATCTCACCACACGGTAGATGGAAGGTCGACGTCTCGGGGCGCCACCGCTCTACGAGCGCAGTAATCAAACTAGCATCGGGGTTCATAGGGACTAGGGGCACGACACTAAACAAGCCTGCCGCTTCGAGATATGGCCGATAAAGCTCATGGTAAGGTACTAAAATGGTCGTACCTCGAACATGGTACGGTCGATCACCAGCCTATAGTGCACAAAACTTATATTAATTCATTTTCATTCGTAATAATTCTAATTTCACCTAATAAATTCTAATCTGTCTTATCTAACATAAAATTATACTAATTTCACCTAACAGTTCAGTTCAGTTCACTACCTAAAATAATCTAATTAGCTAATTAACTTTACATGAATAATTATCAAATACTTACCTCGTTTGTCCAAACAGAGTCGATACGATGTTGGCCGTGTCCCCAAAGAAGTGCCGGATCGACCGGACTTGGATCAATTGTCGCCGGCGGTAATCTCATCGAATAAGGATCCATAAGCCTCGGAACTGCAAAACCAAAGCAACAAAACATTAAAAAAAAACACAAAACATTAAAAAAAAATCAAACTGCCGACGAGAGTCTCACCGCGCAAACGGCCGCCGGCTCCACCACGACCTCGCCGACCTCTACCTCTGCCTCTGCCGGCGGCGACTGGTTCTTCGTCGGAGGACATCTCGGGCGGCGGCGGTTCAGTCCAAGGCGGCGGCGCTCCTGTCTGCCGCGGCGGCGCTCCTCTCTGCGGCGGCGGCGCCTGAGTCTGGGGCGGTGCTGCGGGCGGCGGGCGGCGGTTCGGGGTTGGGGTGGAGGAAGAAGAAGGAGGGAGAGGGGTCTGCTGGTTCGGGGTTGTGGGGAGGAAGAAGAAGGGAGGATATGTGTGGTGGTGGGGAGGGGATAAGGTGGGAGGGTATCAGGTGGGAGGGGCCCGTCCAAAATTTAAAAAAAATTAGTCCGGGGCGCTCCCGCCTGAGTCTCGGGCGCCAGCGCCTCAGACTAATTAAAAAAATTTGTCTGAGGCGGGGCCGCTTGAGACTGGGGCGCCGGCGCCCAGGACTGGGTAAAAATTTAGTCCCGCCTGAGTCTCAGGTGGTCCCGCCCCAATCCTTACTAAAAACCACAATATCTCTGTAAATAGTTTTTAATTGGCCATATTCGTGGTAAATTAAAAAAAAAACAATATTTCTGTCATTTACCCTATGACTTATGAGTGTATCGGGTGTGACAGATCGAACTATTTTTTTTTTTTTTTTTTTAACGGATAGTTAAATAATTTGTCGTTTTACGTTGAAACTAGGATTACAAGATCTAACAAAACGCACCCGATTTGATTTTATTGTCAATAACTATGGTCCTTTTGGTTTAGAAAAGTCTCGGCCCAACAGCCCAAACCCGTCGGAGTCTGAGCGAGGAAACGTTTAACCGTCGCACTCAAACACGTTTGGGCCTTCCTTCGGTGACGTGCCAGCCCAGCCAACTTCTGAAGAAATGCCGAAGGAAGCGAGCTCCACCGCATTGATCTACTGATACCGGCGACCGTTGCAGAGGAATGTCGAACTGGATCTCCTCTAAGCTCAAAGTCGCCGAGACTTTCTTCGAGCAGGTAATTACTCATTTTCTTTATCGCCCACACATCTCATTTGTCATTGTCCAACTATGCTACCGATCCCATCTTCGTTTCTTTCTTACGTTTCACATCTAGAGTTCTTGATTATTTTGGAATCATCTCGAATTAAATTTCTGGTGATGTGATGGCCTGTGGTTCAGATTGATCAGCAAGCGGCCGACTCTCTCAAGAAGAACGAGGAGCAGCGATTTGAGGACCAGAAGTTCGCGGTCCCGGCCAAAGCTGGCGGCGCTGTGCCTTTGAAGGTTCAGCTCAAGAAGAAGTCACCGGAGGCTCTTGCTAACGATGAATACTTAGGGAAACTGAGTGCTGATTCTGGGGTTAGGAAGAGTTACAGTGGCAGCAATGCAGAGAAGGAGGTTTCGATTGCCCCAAACCCTAAGCCCGCTCTCACTGATAGTGATTGGACTGAGCTTCTCAATAACCCTAATCCACCTTCAACTACTTTGAACCGGAGTGGTCGAGGATCTGGGATTCGTGGTCCGAGGAAGGATTTGAAGCGGCAGGTAAGCTATGGTTCCAGTTCTGGAATAGTGGAAGGGAAGAGAAATCTCAAGGCCAGTGGCAATGCGGATAGAGGTCTCAACACTCAGAGGAGATCGGATCCTCTGTTGGGAAATAAGCTTATTAGTGCAAAGCGGAGTGATGGGGAAGAATCTAGCTCATCTGCTAGGTCTTCAAATGTTGAGTCACATACTGATGGGAAAGTCGTGGATAAGCTAGAAGAGGACCATAAGGAGATAGTTGTGGATGAGGTGGATAACCGCAAGAGTGGCCAAGGCAATGGGGATGGCTGGCAGTTTCAATCTGATGATATTTCTGATGCTAAGGTTTTGAGTGCAGGGGAAACGGATCATCACGTTGACGTGTCTCCGGCATCGCAGAATGTTGATGATGTACCTGACGCGAAGAAAGGAGCGAGTGATGTTTATGATCGAATAAGAAGTACAGTAAAGGGGAAACAGAGGTCTGGTGCTGCTTCTAAAAGTTCAGTCTCGAATGATCTGAAAAGAGGTTCTTACTCATCAAGTGGTGGGGACTCTGATTCAGATAGTGAATCCGGTTCCTCTACTGATTCTGAGAGTGAGAGAGAAAGAGAGAGAAGGGAGAAAATTTTGGCTGAAAAAGCAGCAGCAAGGGCTGCTGAGGCAGTTAAAGAGCGAGAGAATTATGTTGCTAGATTGGAAGGAGAGAAACATTATTTGGAGAAAATACTTGAAGAGCGAGCAAAACAAGCGGCTGAAGAGGTAATGTCAAGCTTGAGCCCTTGTTATTGCTAAAATTCTGATCATTCTTGATGTGATCTTTTACTTGAACTGGAGCTGATAATGGTGTCGTTTAGATAAGAGGCAATATCTTATACTTGAGTGTTGAGGGATCTACTATCAAGCGCATGGACATATCATGTTTTCTATCTGCATAGTATGTTCTTCTGTTTATGCCAAAAGATCACCACCATGGTAAGCTGTGTTGAAGTTCTGAATGATAATACAAATAGTAAACCATCCTCGCCAATTGAAAGATGACAAAAGGTTAGACTTTCATCCAACTGAATATCAAATCCAAGCTACCGCACCCGATTCAAATAGAATATCAGGTTCATCATTCTTCATAGTATATTTGCAGTAAACCATTTACATTGCTGGCATGTTGATGGGTAGTTAGAATGCGTACTTATCGCAATTTGACTATGTGCGTACTGTTGAGACCTAAAACTGGTTGTATTGGGTCATACACCCTTTTCACATGAGTAGTGATGAAGTAGGCAGTCTTATTAACCTAATGATTGAAAATTTTCAGGTTTTCTGTGATCAGAATAGTTGATTATGATTTAAGCCATGGAGCTATTTTCAGTTCTAGGCATTGTTGACTGCATTTACACTTTGTGTTTGAAAGCATATATTTTCATATGATTTATATTTGGTGCCTGAGATGAAAGCAGCTGTGGACGTGCCAAGTTATATTTTGGCTGCTAATTACTTAACCTGTTTCTGTGGCCAGGCTTCAGAGCTGCAAACAAATATGATGGAAACGATGGAAGCTGCCGATTTGGAGAAGCAGAAACATAATTATACTAGAATGGAAGCCCTTGCTCGATTGGGTAAACTGGAGGTATATTTTCTGAGGTCATGCTTTCATACTCTACTTAATTACACTCTTTTATGAAATTAGATTGAGATTTCTTTTTCTTAATTTTATTTTCTCAAAAGATCAATGCGCTTGCAGACTGAAAATGCTGATCTTGCAAAATCTCTAGCCACTGTTCAGAAGAATCTGGAGATTGAGGTAATGCCGTTTCTGATCGAAGTTGCTAAGCTACATGGTCACAGTTATTGCGCAAGAACGTAACGAAAATAGGCTTTGCATAGGAAACTGAGAATAGAGAGCATAAGTGAATTGGGAACCTTCCACGATTTGCTAAAACCTATACTCTTAGAGTCATGTCTGCTACTTCTGGAAATAAGCAGAAGAGGAAACCTTGCAAGCTTCTGAAGCAAGGAAAAGAGGAGAGCTTATGTCGGTTGAATGTGGTTACTCCTTCGGATTGTGGTTCATCTTGTCTGAAACGAGAGCTTGATTGAAATTAGATTGGTCAGGAGCTGTGCGGTGTGCTGTCTGATAGTAATTTTCTCGTTGCATTCTAACAGGATTCCAAATTTATCGACAAGGTTGAAATTCGAGTTTTTGAGCTTCTGTTAGCTTTCTGTATGCTGTGCAAGCCCATTTCCTGTTTATGTGCATCTATGATTCTAAGTATATCTTGTCCCATGGCAGAGTAATCGAGTGACAGATCTACGACAAGAAGTTGAGTTGAAAGAAATGTCAGTTGAAGGTAACCAAATTTTATTACAATCTGTTCTACTTTCACCACTTATTTCCTGTGTTTTTAATTTTTCTCCTCAGTTAGGCTACAAGTTATGAAGTTCGTAACTTGTATATTCTTCACTAGACATATCAGCATTGGTTACTTTTCGATCTGTGAGTGGTGAGAGAAGTTCAATCTTATTAGGAAATTCCGGGTTGGAGTAGTTTCTCCTCTAAGTAGTTGCTCATCAAAGAAACTCATGTCTGATTCTTTCTTTAAGTATGTGATCCTTTTTTTGCTTGTGTTTTTCATCAGTGTCAAACTATAGATCAGTCTTTAGGTTAATTTGAACAAGAACTACTACTTATGCTCATACACTAATTAGGTTTGGAATCAAAGTTTTCCTCTCCGATGCTATATCGTTTTGATGATTTGTTGAAAACTCCTTTTTTTCCTCGTAGAATTCAAGAGGAAGATTTCTGAGACGCAGCAGACTGGAAAACATATTAACCAAGTAAGTATCTAACTTAAATCCTGTGGTTAAATTGTAACAGAAGGAAGGGGTTAAAATGAGTGGCAGTCCCAGCCACCATGGTCTCGATGTCAGTACTAGGGTTGCAAACGAGCCGAGTCGAGTTGAGTTTTTGCTTAGCTTGAGCTTGGTTCGTTTATAAAATTTTCAGCTCGAGCTCGAGCTCGGCTTGGCTAAAAATAATCTAGCTCGAGTTTGACTCGGTAGAGCTCGGTAAATGCTCATTAGCACAGCTTGTCAGGCTGAGTACAAGCTCGGCTCAATATAAGCTCGATTTGAAATCATTCTTGCTGAAGAATGTGTAAACATAAGAATTTAAATGGTAAAAATAACACTAGAAACTCAAAATAATAGTTAATTTCCATACACAATCGTATTAACAAAATAATATTCATGTTCGGAAGAGTAATTAATCATTCCACAAGCTCTAAACAAGTAAGCTCGCGAGCTTATCAACAAGCCACCGAGTCAAGCTAGCTCACGAGCTTATCAAGCCGAGCATGGTCTAGCTCAAGCTTGGCTCGTTTACTAACGAGTTGGCTCGCGAGTCGGCTTGTTAAATAACGAGCCGAGTGTCGAACGAGTTTTTTCCGATTCGAACGTCGAGTTGCTCGCGAGCGGCTTGGCTCATTTGCAGCCCTAGATGTCACCCTCCACTACTTTTGCAAGTAGTGGCATTTTTTCAAAAAATTATCTAAGCTTGAATATCTACCTTCACATACTAATCTGTCTCTCCATTGAGAACTTATTAGTTGGGCGCCTCAAAAGGTGTAGAATTTGAGCGGGAAATTCTTGAAGCTGAGTGCTCCTTTCTGGCTGACAAAATTGGAAGACTGGAAGTCAAGGTTTGTTTTTTCTTTCTTCTTGGGATTGAACCTTCCTTGGCTTTTTAGTAAATGCCTACTGGTACATATCAGATGTCCATTTTGCCCCTGCATATGTTGTTTGAGTCCAAATGTCTTCTTATTCATGTAAGCTGTTAATGAGCATCACTCTCGTTTTTGAAGTACGAAGGATCTTGCTTGTTGTTTGAGTCCAAATGTCTTCCTATTCATATAAGCTGTTAATGAGCATCACTCTCGTTTTTGAAGTACGAAGGATCTTGCTTGTTGTCCTCCATTCTAAATTCAGCCTCGTTCAGCTAAAGCTACAGGATCAATTAAACACAGAGGCTGATCAGTTTATGTGTTTTTATCTAGGCAAAAGAGCTGGAGGCAGATATTGAAGTGACGAGAAAAGATTTGGAAGAACCAACAGAAGTGGAGCTTGAACTAAAACGAAGGCTTGGGCAGTTGACTGACCATTTGATTCAGAAACAAGCTCAGGTTTTGTCAATTAGAAGTTCTTCTTTGCTTTATTTAGACCGTTCGTCATTGATCGCCCAATGAGTTTTTTCCCATGTTGCTTGGATGAATCAGGTGGAGGCGCTTTCTTCTGAGAAGGCAACTCTCCAGTTCAGAATAGAGGTACCATAATCTTTTGACTACACAATCACCTCATCCCTTCTTTATGTCCTCTCTTCACTCATCATCACCATTTGCAATGATGATCCTCCAGGCTGTGATGAGATCGCTGGACGAGAACAAGTCGACTACGAGCTCCAAGGATTTGGAATCAGGATCAAGTACATGGGGGGAGAGGGCGAGTGAGAGACGAATGGCACTGGAGGATAAACTTCGGTCCGGAAGGAAACACTTGGGTTCATTGCTCGAGCAGCTCGACGCCATCTTTGTCGCAGGTGCAGTATTCCTGAGGAGGAACCCCAGCGCGAAGATGTGGGCTGGGATTTACCTGGTAGGCCTTCACTTCTGGGTCATTTACATACTGTCGTCGCACTCCGGTCCAGCTGAGGGAAGATCCGGTGCTGTCGTTTCACTGGAGAATATTAATAATACTGGCGCTGTATAGCTCTTGTTTTCCCGTTGAGTTCATTACCTTCAACCAAAATGTTGGACACAGTGTGATGTTTTTGGTGGGGATGGGTGTTTGTTTGTAATTACACTCCTACAGCAAATAGCGTTGGAATAGTAAATAGAGATCGACATTACATCATTGAATTCTTTTGTCATCTCAGTTGCTTATAACCATAGATACCTTATCAGTTTAGCGAGAAACCCAAAATTCGTATACATTCTATATTGTGAATTCGTGCTCTGGTTGGTTACGGGTATTTCGTACTTAATGAAGCGTTGATTTGTTCAAGAATACTAAGATTTCTGGATTAGCGAAATGGAAGCAAAACTCAGGATGAATTCTTGCATACCCCAGCAGCACAGTGGAGTCAATTACATAACCACACCCCTTGATGATTAAGAAAAAGGCTTAAATCTGTAATTACCAAAAGCCACAATGAAACACAATTCACTCTTTCTTTCTGTTAATTTTGTAAGGAAACAAGAATCAGCTCAGCTTCAGTTCATCTCCTTTGATCACTTCTCCCTCAGTGCTCCTTGCACGGCACAAATGACAATTTCATATCTCCCAAACCATATTTGATAGTACTAAGTAAGTTTTGAAGCGCCAAAACGAAGAAGGGAAAGGCTTCCTTTCCCCACCTCACCATGCCAACCCCTCAGGAGGAAGACTGCGACTGTACAATGGCAGCTCGAACAAAAACACGGTTTTGAACCACGATGGCAGGTTTTCGTAGAGCGATGGAGGCAGCGGGATAAGAGGGCTGAGAGGAACACAGAAATAACCACCAGTTAGTCTGTGGACGAACACAGTAAAGGACGATAAACGATCAAAATTCCCACCTCCAATGCTACTACTAACCTGGTCCTCCTTTTGTAGTTTCTGTAAGCTGGAGCATTGCCAAACTTCTTGTCAGCAGAGTCCTGTCAACATTTCTCAATCTTATTATATGTATATTCTTAAGCACATATTAAAAGGGTCACTTAACATTCTGCAAAATGCCTTTGTAACAAACCTCGAGCAATGGAATGCCACTGAGGAAAAGAAGCAGCAATGTTAAGAAGATTGGCCCTAGAATGACAAGCCATTCAGCCCCTTTGAGCACGGGAGCAGATGCCACAAAGATCCCCCACCAAAGGAAAATCTGTTTCAGTGAAAAGAGAACTTTTAAAGATAAAAGGCAACATTGTGAGAGCTATAGCATGAGGTTGGTACACAGATCACAGTGCTGCATACCTCTCCAAAATAATTAGGGTGGCGAGTGTAGCTCCAGAGTCCGACATTGCACCATTTCCCTCTGTTTTCAGGTGCGTTTTTGAAAGCAAGTTTCTGTTGATCAGCTGTGGCTTCGAATGATGTCCTGATAGACCACATTATCCACCCAATTATGTCTCGAACGTCTAATGCAGGATCTCTGTCACTGGAATTAACTACCGTCAAGGGCAAACTCACAGTCCACACCCATACAGCCTGCAGTGAATGAGAATATAAGACTAGGTTGAGTTAGTTGAAACATCAAATATTAATTGGAACATCAGGAAGCGATTATAATATGTTTCAAAGTAGAGGATGGAACTCTCATTAACCTGAAATATCCAGAAAACAGCTAACTTCCCCAAATTGCTGCGCATTTCATAAAAAGCCTATCCTCCCCCCACTGCAGTATCCTGTTCAGGAAATGTTTGTTTAGGCCAAATTGACGGGTTTGACTCAGTTCAAACATCAAAGATTAGCTTAATGAATGAACAACGAACAACTAGCCTAGAACTTGAGTGCATAAAACAAGCACTAGTAATCAAACACGTAGCCATGCACACCAATCCATCCATTTCGTTTAACATGTGAAGTTAGCATGCAATGCCTTCACTTCATACCTCATTAGCAGAAACAGGCCCAGACGAAGACCCCATATTATGACAAGGACACTCAAGACTACCTGTAATACAAGGAAAAAATCCAAGTCAGAAGCCATAAACACTCGGTACAAAGACGAGAGTTGGTTAGAGCTTGACAATGGAGGCAATGCATACATTTATTTAGACCAGCAACTTGGGTACTTGGTAAAGAAAATGAAAGGCAGGAAAAGCTTTTCAGTAGCTTCCCCAGACCAAAAATCTACAGGAGATATAAGCAATTGTTCCAGGATGTTCGCTCCATCTAATGAATAAACACAGAAGCTCCTTCTACGGTAAGTTTCCAACTGAATATTGGACCAACCAGTACCTTGAGTCTCACAAACATAAACAAGGCAATTGATTTGAGCAACAGTCGTGCAACGTTGTAATTGGATTGCCTGCACCTCATTAATATAACTCTCAAGGGTATTGCTATTCTTCTTTTCCTTCTAAATGGTTCACATACCAAGAGTCTGGTTTCTTTCTCTAGTGGTTTAAGATCCTCTGAATGGAACTTGGAACAAGCAACAAAGAAAACTGAAAGAGGATTGCCACCAAACAAACCAGTGACGATATCCTTCTCAAAGAACCTCATACAGAAATCAAAGTTCCCATCAACAGAGAAACAACTTATACATAAAACAGTGCCATGAAATGACTGGCTAGAATTACAAAGAGACGAGTGTACCTGTCTAAAATACCACGTCCCTTTCAGAATGAGGGTCAAAGCCGCAAGTATAATGAAGTTTGTGCTTCCTGGAACAGATTAAAACATCTAATTAGCACACCAGAAACTACTTCAATTGTATGTTAAGCAGCAAGAAATCATGTCAACCCATTTCTACCGACCCCATAGCCATTTCAATTCTAATTGATCTACCTTATAATCATTCATCCATAGCTACCAAGAAGGTTAAAGCAGGGGGGAAAATTCGAAACCCCAAACAGAAGAAATGAGCAAGAATACCAGCAAAGTCGGTGACTTAATCGAACTTGAGAAGAGCTGTGACAATGAAGAACAGCAGCTGGTACCCAACCTGCACAACCCAACGAATACCAAAAAATCAACACGACACACACAAACTCTAGAGAATAACGAGAGAAGCCCATGAACCCTGAGGTGCTGCCGTGCTGGGGAAGAGAATTACGGTGACAATGGCGGTTAGAGCAAGAAAGTGAGAATCCAGGACGGTTCCCATTTTTTAAAAGATAAAAAGTGGGTACGCTTTATCACCCACAAAGTTTTACTACTGTTTCAGTTTTTGTCGCTTAGTTGAAGGTCCATTGCTTGCTTGCTTTTGTATTTTCATTAGGCTAGATGGGTCGGGTTGGAATTTGGAAACGGATTGCGCTGCTGCCCCCTTTACTAGACACAGTCCTATCATACGCCCCAGGCCCTGCTGCAAACTGTGCAACGAAACGTGTTCTTTTCGTCTTCCTGTCGCCTCACCATGCTGCTTTCCCTGAATCGCCGTCCCGCCACGCAATACCTACTGTTCCTCTGGTCAACACGCCATAGACAAGGCGGTTTTCTTCCTCTAAATACTATCCTTTTAGTATTGCTGGAAAAACAATCTAGAACACCACTTCCTGTTCAGTTCTTCCTCGCACCATCTTTGCTCCCTTGACCTCTTACCCTCTTTCTTCAAATTCGCTTCAATGAAACACATGTCCTCTCGAGCCTCACATGGACGGACAAAGCTCCGCCTCTAAAATTGCGCCTCCTACATACATGGACGGCGGGCAACCCAGCATGCCCGGATGGGTTCTTCGAACACGCTACGCTCTGGACAGACGAGTTGGTAGGTTGCATCCTTCACCTTCCTCCTTAGCGCCTTTGCCGTCTGCTTAGGGTTACAAATTTGCAAATCCAAACGCAGGGCGTGCTGATACAGGGTCTTGCATCGAAGCAGCTCTGTAGTCATCTGCAGGAGGTTCTGACAGTTGGAAAGGTGTACTTTGTTAGCCAGTTTATCCAGCGTGAATCCAGAAGGCGCTGGTCGGCCTGTGCCAATGAACGACTCCAATATTTCAATTCAAAAACTTCTTTCGTACACTCTCCTGAAGACGACCCATCTTCTGTCCTGATAGTTTTGAATTCTGTGGCTTTGAGGAGCTCGAAACTCTCTCCTCGAACCATGCCTCTGTTGTGGGTAAGCTTCTTCTTCTTACCTCTGTCATACTAATCGTTGCCACTCTGCCCGCCTGAGGAAATTATCGTAGATGTTGTTGGGCGGCTGGTGTCTGCAACTCCTGTAACTTATTATTATCAAAAACAAGACCGTTCAATTAGGCGTCAGGTTGTGGTCATTGAAAACGAAAGGTAATCCTCACTATCCTTTTCTATTTCCACCCCGCTTTGTTGAGCGTCATTCTTGTTTCTAACCTCCAAGTATGTTTCTGTTGGTTTCAGGAAACTCTCTTTATCAATCACGTTGTGGTCGGACTTTGCCGAAAGGCTAAACCTCCCTGAACTCATTGGCCTAAATGGCGCATCACCGATGATTGTGGTATTCACCAGTATGAGACTCTCTACTTGGAGAGGTACGTACATTTGCCGGGAAAGCCTCCTCGGTGTTGTCTTGCTATGCCTCGCCTAAACCGCAACGTCCACCACCTTCACATGGCTTTAATATTGTCTGCTTTGTGTCTATGGCAATAGTTTAGAATTACTATGTCTAGATTATGTTTACATGTGTTCTGGGTATCCTTAGTTACCTGCCTAAAAACTTACAACATGCCTGCTCCACTGAACTGCTTTTCCCTACTCTTATCACTGTTTACCCTTTTAGGTGTGAAAACCATCGCTCTCTGGGGCCTTTTGTTACTCCAAAGTATTGCCTCACTGTGTCTGGTCATGCTTAGTCCCGCCTTTAAGATAGTTCTATGGTTTCATATGCTCTCCCTTTAGATTTGACTTTAGAAGTCTCATTTGGTGTAGGAACTGTCGAAGCATCTAGCATTGCTGCTACTCGCATTGTCCTGTCACCAGCAGCCCCACACACTGCTAACCTTGCTTCGCATTACTTAGAATAGTTTTTTTAACCTTTACCCTCCTGCTACTTCTTTGCACCCTCACATGGTTGTTCAATGTAATGCAGCTTCGGAGAAACTGTTGCCACCATTGGCGTTGTGCCAACTGAATTGGACACCCCTGAAAAGGCTGCAACTGTTTACCGAGAATCGTTCAATGTTGCACCTCGCAGTTTCGATGCAGCTGCGGTTGTGGAAACGCGAGAATTTAGGTCCCCCAGACCATCACAAACCCTGGACATTAGGCAAGTGCATTATCCTACTTCAAATTTACTGCTTAAATGCGGTACACACCAATCTTCCTGTACGCAGCAATAGCCGGTCTTCACTGGCAGGAATTAACATTGTGCCCTCGCCATGCCTTTGTTTTCTTGCAGTGCATACATTGACCCACCACCAGTTCCAGCTCTCGGCTCAACCTTCTCAGGTGCATTCTTGCCTTCAACGCCCGCAAAGCCAGCTGAAACATGCACTTCTGATACATTTGCTGGACAGCCTCCCACACCGGCCTCCGCTGGGTATGCCCTCTCTACACTACAAACCAATATATTTTATTTATTAGCGGAGAACTGCAACTTACTCGGCCTTCATACCTTTTTCGTTCAATCAAAACTGAGAGTCTACATGCATCAGCCTTCGCTTGAAATGATTTGGTGCACAGTAACTTCATGTTAGCTATAAGTAACATTTAACCATGATCTCCGTTGGTTGTGCCTCTACACGCATGCATGCCTGCTCAATTACTTATTATCTCAATGTATAGTTTCTCTGTTCATGCATGTTGGCTCCACATGATGCGCTCAGTCATGTGCTAATTCAAGAGTTTTTGTTCTGAAAATGCAAGATTAGTTACAGTTTCGTTTGTGAGAATGGTTTGTTGTGAACTTGCACAACTAATTATTGTTTGGGGTAATTATTGATAGTTTAAGCTGCAAAATAGAACCAATATAACATAAATAATAAATATGTTTCTTACATTCCATGCGTTCTGTTAACCTTTACTATCTCAACCCTGCATTTCCTGCAGGTTAGCCTCTCCACTAGCAGGAATTACCATTGCGAGCTCGCCTGTCAATGGTACGGCCAGGGGGAAAAGCCATTATGGACGCTGGACCAGATGCGTACCAGGTCGTCCAAAGGTGTCTATTTGCCATCTTCTGTCCTCTCGGTTATAATCAGAATGGTGACTATGCTCATCGTCCTCATCTGATGCACAAACTTTCTTCCACTAACAGCGTAACTGAACTCAATGCTGCTGTTTCGATTAAGCTCAAGGCCAGCGCATCCCAGAAAAACAAAGCTGCCGGTGTTGGAGTGCAGAAAACCATCCCTCCTTCCATGCTGCCAATAAACCCGTAAGTCCGTTTTATGCCTGGCCACAAGAACGAACTCCCGCCAATTACAAGTGTTCTCTTTAACCTGACCGCAACAACCTTCTTTACTTTTTCCCAGGCTACACCAGCCCCTTGCAAAGATCAACCTGGAAAAGTTAGAATCTGCAACCAGGAATAAGAAGAAGAAAAATCTCGCCAATGATGACCGGCCAATATCCCACCTCAAGGCAAAGGTGACTAAGTGTAAGATCGTGGCAAAGAAACTTTTCTGACTCTCGAAGTGTGCTGCTTTTGTGTGGGTTGAAGCTGCCGTCCAGACCTGTTTTTTGTTGCATGCCACCGGTTCTTCAGTAATGTTTGTTTGACAGTAGCAGACTTTAGTTCTTATCTTTTGGCAGCGTACCGGTGCAAACACTCTTTTGACAAATGGGTCACCATTTCAAATGCGCCTTGCCTGTAACGATCCAACCATGTCTAATCAATCGTGCTTATGCAGTTCATTAGTATGTCAGCTATTATGCAACAACAAAAACCACGACCTTTCTCAAATGATGCTTCTTCTGTGTTCTGCCCTTTTGACAAAGGCTTTGCCTGTCGCTTAGTTTCAATCAGCCAAGCCATACAACCAACTGTTATGCGGAACATAAACCCTGTCCTGGTTCGGTTAGAAGAAATGATAAAACTATGAACCTCGACTTTACTGGAGAATTGCAGCTATCTAAATTGCATGTCCTAAGTTTGGTATGAATTGGGGTCCTGCACAAAGGAAACTCTTTTATACTCCAGTTCTATGAAAAAACAAACTGTCTGTTCAGTGTTGTACTTTTAAAGAGTGGGGGGTTTGCATACATTTGACAGAAAAAATGACCTTTGATTGATTAGATTAGGTGATGCACACCATTCCCTTAAACCCCATCCCTCTTGCAATTCTTTATGGACCTAATCCTTGCACCTCTTCCCTGCAATTCAGCTCCCCTTCACTACAGTCAAGCCATTGCAGAATGGCTTACTTTGTCAACCTTCCTTCCCCAGCCATAGAAATAGAAGTTCTGCCTACGTTGTTTTGCTGGAATGTGGTTATGCAGTATGAATTGTATGGCACCTGTCTTTACTCATTCATGCCTATGTATTTGCAAATTTAGTAGTCAGATACACGTTTGCTTCCTATTTTGCTTTGCCAATCCGGGATCATATTAATCAGTGGGTGAAACGACCACAATCATACCTCTGCGTTGCCTTACCGCAGAGAAAACAACGAACAACTGCTTCTGCCATAACCCACTACAGCTTAAGTCCCCGCGGCGTAGCCACGGGTATTATTTCTAGTTTCCAGATAAGAATGACAAAGAGGGCGCCGACCCTGTTTACAGTAGTAGTGTTGGAAAAGATGGAGAATTTTAGTAGGCAGGGAGTATGAGAATTATAACGGCCCGGTTATTGCTTGCTTTGCTCTGGTTGGGCATTTCCGGGTAGGGATAGCAATTTCGACCTAACCCGTTTTACTAGACTTGTTTGACCTGTTTTGGAGCGGGTCTGATCTGTCCCGTAGGCGGGGCGGGGCGGGCATGGGTACTCTCATCGACCCGACCTGCCCTAACCCGTCCCATTCTTGCCTAAATTACACGTAATTTTAGTCAAATTACTTACGATTTTCCTTTTACTAAATCAAATTTTAGCTATAATAAAGTTGTAAATTAGTAAAAGTCTCAATTTCTCCTATAATTTAACTATATTTATCATAATATTGTTTGTTTTCATGGTCTTATAATAAAAATAACGAACATTTCTAATATTTTTCATATAAATTACTTACCCATTGGGTCGACCTGCCCCGACCCGTAACCCGTGATAAATTACCCAACCTGGACCTGACCTGCCACGGGGCGGGTCTGGGTACCAAGAAACCCGCCCCGGACCTGCCCCATTGCCATTCCTATTTCAAGGAGTTGGAAGATTTCGTTGACGGAGGACGGATTCTGGCGGCTGCATGATACGCCGTGACGAGTGGGGCGGATCAAGAATTTTTTGCAGGGTGTACATTTCCAAAAATTAAATTAAATAATTAAATTAAATAATTCATAAATTAGAAAATATTCGTCTAGTACAAATTTTCACAAAAGGTCACAACGTGTTTTTATATTTAAAAAAAGAATATAAAATAGACTATGTTCTCTACACTACTCAACAAATCTGCTACTAGACAACAATTCACGAACTGATCGCATATTTAATTTCTAACCTTGTTCTTAATGTAACTCAAAGTTGAAAAGACTCTTTCATCACTTGCCGTGTATCTATAAAATCAATTCAAATTGAGGGTAGCCTATAATTAGTTTAATTATTAGGTTTTGAAATAGTTGGAAATATGTTTACAATTAACACTTGTCGTATAGCATTTTTAATATAACATATATAGTGTTTAAAATTAAACAACAAATGAGTTGCAACCTCATTGAAAATATGTATAATAATAAGTGTCCTAGGTTTGAATAACACATACTACCGCATATATTTTTTTAATATACAAACTACTACCAAAGGTATGATAATCGTTTTTTCAAATTTTAGAGGTGTCGAATTACCATTTATATTTTTTTTATCCATACGAAACTACTACTGGGGGTTAAATAATCGTTCTCCCAAATTTTAGGGGTGTCCCGGAACACCCCTAAACCTACATGTATCCGCCACTGGACGAGTGGATGGGATTTTTACACCATGGGTGGCTGATTATTGTCCGAGTTGTCCTGCTTTTTTTATAAGAGTGATAATTGCTTTTACTTTTTCGTTGTTTAGGTACTACTTAAAGAATTAGAAACTGTGACCTCCAATTGGTTACAAAAATGTTGATTTTATGACGCTACCATTTGGTTGGAAATAGGCAAATAAAATCGTTGGCTTTTAGTATTTGTGACCAATAGCCTACTTTTCTGTGACTATTTTAGCAGATTTTATATAACCAATTATCATGGTCACAACGTAATTTTTTTGTGACCTTCCTCAAGTTTGGTAGCCAAATCATCATATTTTGTGACCAAATTTTCTGAAAATTTGGTCAGAATATAGTTTTACTAACGCGGCAAATGTGACCAAAGGTGCAACCAAAATTCTTTAGTCACGAAATAGCATTCTCAACCAAAATCTGACATTTGGTGACCAATTGCATTTGTCATAAAAAGCCATTTCTGTTGTAGTGACTAGTGGTTGCTCCCTATGGAGCATTTTGTACAAATGATCCAACATAATAAAAGAATATCTTATTTGAAAATTACTAGGAACTAGCAAAGAAATTGGGAAATAAGAGCTGTTCAACAACTCGAAGAATCCTATGATGGGTTGATTCCTCATAGCTTGAAGAAATGGCTGGTATAGAGGAATCTGAGTGATGAATTTTGGAATAGTCAGCTTTATATATAGTAGGTGTCGATGCCGCGCCTTGTCGTGGGCGGAGATGGCTTATTGGCATATATTATGTGACTCATTATGGTATTTTGTTAGTATTAATAGTCTAAACCTAATTTTTTGTTAGCAAATTTGTTAGTGATATTGACTTGATAATATGATATTGAATGAGAAGAGATATATGGCGGAGAAAATCCAATTAAAAAAAAAGTGAAAATTTTGGCTAGTAAATGATATATACCTAAACCCAAGTAGACTCATTGATTATGAGTAGGGTATGTGGGTTTGGAAGTTTGTAGATGGGTAATGGTAGGGTATGGATATTTAGTTCCATAATCTAAATGTGTATGAGTTGGGTATGGATACCAATTTATTCGAGTGTGTTTTAATTACACATACAAAAATTAGACCTATTTATAGAACTTCAAAAGTTGAGGTACCAAAATATAATATATAAAAAATTTAGGTACTAAAATATAATGTCCATCAATATTTTGAGGACTTATATGCAAAAAAAATATATAGGTTATAAATCTAAAGATCTATTAAGTTTAGGTACAGAACTGTAATTTGCATATTTGAGGCTTAATTCCTTTTATGGTGATGTATTTAATATGATAATTATTTACCTTTTTATAGAAAATGTAAACTATTTATTTGATATGTGTAGATACCTAGCCAAACATTCCATGTACAATTGTTGAAAATTTTAGCCTGGGCGAAAAAGAAGAACTCTAGAGAGAAGCGAAGGGGATACAAACTGGAACTCGCTTAAAATTTCACGCCTTCAAATCTCATAGTGGAAAATGACGACTTTCTAATAAGTAATAACCATATATATCTATTTTTAATTGGACTCGACATTGAGCTGAAAAGGTTAGTGGTTCATGGTTCAATTGTTAGTTCTTTAGACTGTTGGTGAGTGGTTTATGGACTTGTTCATACTTGTAATTAGAATACATAATAATAGTATACTAATTAGGGTTAGACGAAGACGACAAAGAAAGGGTTATGGAAGACGAGTGAAAAATGAAACGAAGAGGAAGTAGATGATGGAAAGGTTTTGAGTAGTTCTTTTAGTCGGCCGTCAATACAACAGTCAACCTTTTCACCATAGCAATCTAAACATTGAACCAATATGTAAATTTAAAAAATTGTAGGTACGAAAATCTCATAAAATGTAGATACCAAAACATAATTGTTCAATGAATTTACATTAAAATTAAATTTGCGGTATTAAAATTTAAAATGTACATTATAGTGACTAAGTTGTGATTTAATTAAATTTAGAGTATCAAAAAGTAAGTTTGTATGCAACAGTAAACTTACTTCAGCTTTATATATAGTATAATTAGAATACATAATAATAGTATAATAATTAGGGTTAGACGAAGACGGCAAAGAAAGGGTTATGGAAGACGAGTGAAAAATGAAACGAAGAGGAAGTAGATGATGGAAAGGTTTTGAGTAGTTCTTTTAGTCGGCCGTCAATACAACAGTCAACCCTTTTCACCATAGCAATCTAAACATTGAACCAATATGTAAATTTAAAAAATTGTAGGTACGAAAATCTCATAAAATGTAGATACCAAAACATAATTGTTCAATGAATTTACATTAAAATTAAATTTGCGGTATTAAAATTTAAAATGTACATTATAGTGACTAAGTTGTGATTAAATTAAATTTAAGGTATCAAAAAGTAAGTTTGTATGCAACAGTAAACTTACTTCAGCTTTATAGATAGTAATGTAGGTACGAAAATCTCATAAAATGTAGATACCAAAACATAATTGTTCAATGAATTTACATTAAAACTAAATTTGGGGTATTAAAATTCAAAATGTACATTATAGTGACTAAGTTGTGATTTAATTAAATTTGGGATATCAAAAAGTAAGTTTGTATGCAAAAACTTACTTAAGCTTTATATATAGTAATAGTTGTTCACGGATTGAGTAGCATGTTAGCAACCCAATGATGAAGAGCGTTGAAAACATTTTTTTGCTAGAGTAAAATTGAGATGAGTGAGCAATGCGAGTACACATTAACCAGTTATTTGAGTTCAGATCTATTGTCGTTTCAATTCGAGAAGTGCTTGGGGAGAAGGCATGTAAACAGCATAGGCATGATTTTTCAAGGAAGACAGGAAGTACATAGGGAGAAGACTGATTTTGTCTATTGTAAAGATAAATAATCTACATTCAGGATCCACAGTGATTAAATAGAACAATGTTAAGAAAATCCAAAAACATGTCAAGATCGTCGCCATTTACAATTGAGGAGCAAAGAAAGAAAATATATGCAATAGAAGGCTGGGGACTTGGAATGAGACTTTTTGGCAAGCAAACCATGTTATCTAGATAATATGACTTCAAAGATTGAAGATAATGTCACCACGAAAATAATGGTATTGTTCAATATCATCCTCAAATTGAAAAATACATCATGAAAACATATGTATGGTATTGTTCAATATCATCCTCAAATTGAAAAATACATCATGAAAACATATGTAATAAGGATTGAAACATGTGCAAAGAAAGATGACTATATAGTTGGAGTAATCTACATCTTCTAATTGAGAAGCACTTAGAAAAAAAATATGCAATAACGGTTCCAAAAATAATTTTCTTGCGGAAAAAAATGACGACTACACAAAAATACAAACGGAAATAGCCACACTTAGGTCAAACTAAAAAAAAAGAACGTCTCAAATGGTGAGTTTACAAAATTAATAGGAGCAACATGCAAGTTTTTAGGCAACAGTACCTTGCATTTGCCTTTATATATATATATATATATATATATATATATATGGTGGCTACTTCGGTGCACTCACTTTTTTGGGTGCATTCAGTGCACCCACCTCTAAAAGTGGTCATAATACATCAAATTTTGAAATTTAATGGGTAGCATTAGTCTCATATGATGATATAACATAAAATCACAACTAATCAACCCATTACCCTAACCTATTAACATTCAATTTTGAATCTAAACCCAAAATCCCAAATTGTAAACCCTAACCCTAACCCTAAATTCCTAAACCCTGAATCATTCAAATTAAAGTGAACCTTGATTGATTTTTGTACAAATTCATGTGGTTCTTGTTCATCATACTACAAGGGATGATTGACATCGTTTTCACATGAATCGTCTGCTCAGAATGACGATTATGAGGCGGGTGCATTGAATGCACCCAAAAAAGTGAGTGCACCGAAGACATAACCATATATATATATATATATATATATATATATATTAATGGTCATTTTGCTAGACCTCTTTATACACAAAGACTAGTCATGCGACACACTTCATTTGGTAATCTCATACCTTCAATCAACTTTAAGTGCTTTAGAATGAAGAAACATGTAAGGGCATGACATGAAAAATAAAGAAATTCTGCAAGGGAAACCAAAACCCCATGGTTATGGAATTGATCATTAAAGTGTGGAGAAGTAACTCAGTCAGTCGCAATGTACACTCTTATGAACCTTGACTATGCACGTAAGAGTAGAAGAAGGTGGGATAATTTGTGACTACCCTAAATAACACCATTTTCTCCAAATCCTAAGCTAGGCCCAGGAGGCACAATCATACCCTTCTCTTCCCACCAGCCTTCATTGATCTCAACACATACTCTATTCCATCACCAAAGCAAGTGGCTTCTTCTTATGAAATGTGTTCATAGAGGCACATCATTTCCTCCAACTATCGGTTGTTTATATTTGGTTTCTATTTCAGTTTGAGTGTATAAAGTTGAAGTTATTTACGGTTTTACCGCTTATTGAATAGTAAATGACAACCAAGCTTTTTATACCAACCAACAACAATGTGTTCATAAAGGGCACATCCTTTCGTCCAACTACCCTCTATTTATATTTGGTTTCTATTTCAGATTGAGCACATAAAGTTGAAGTTATTTACGGTTTTACGGCTTAATGAATAGTAAATGACAACCAAGCTTTTTATATACCAACAATTTAGCAACCCATTTTGGTCATAAAAAGTTGATTTATTGCAATGTAGTGAAAGTTGCATATATGTAAAGATAAGCGTATGTTTACAATGGAATTATGGAAAGCTAGCTATCATTGCTTTCCCAAAATTCTACCACATAGAAAGTTAATATGTAAAATCCTGTATTTAATTTTATCAATAAAACTAATATTTCATTTGTAATTGACTGAAGTATTAAGAGGGATGAATTACATGTATGTCGTATCAAGAAAATAAATTTACTTTAAAAAGCATTTAATCTCATATGACTAATAATAAGATTCAATCAATGCTAAAAAAAAATTAGAGTTAAATCATCTACGACAATAAGTGTCACACACTTCAAATAGTAAATCCCATGACCCACTAATCAACTTCAAAATAGATCTTGAATTGAAAATTGTTTCCAGGTGGTCATTTTATTCAACCTATACACAAAGGCAATTCATGCTACACACTTCAACTGTTATGGCATAAATCAAAAACAAAAGCTTTCCAAACAAATTGTGGAATTGATTGCGAGGAAAGTTGGTAAATCAGGCAGGTGCAATGGACACTCTTTCAACCTCAACAATGTACTCAAGAGTTGAAGAAGGTGGGATAGTTTGGGACTCAGAACCCAAATCAGCTCCATTTTCTCCAAACCCCAAGCTAGGAGGCACAATCACCCTTCTCTTCCCACCAGCCTTCATTGATCTCAACACATACTCTATCCCTTCACACATCCCTCTGGTGTATGGCCTGGAACCCATCACTAGAGCAAGTGGCTTCTTCCTCTCAATTGTGTCCACAAAAGACACTTCCTTTCCCCCAACTACTCTCCCTTTAAGGTCAATCACCACCAAGTCCCCTGCCCTTGGAGTTGCCCCTCCTCCCACCTTCAACTCATAGTACCTGTTTTCATCTTCCCCACATTACATAATGTAACAGAGAAATATTTTCAATCAATGGTTCTAAAGAGGGATCATGGTGTTTTCAGTTAGTTATACTCACTTAATTCCATTTGGCAAAACCACTTCTTCCTCCTTCTCCACTTCCCTGAAACCATAAGGAAAAAGGAAGGTCTGTAAGCAGCTAGCTGAGTTCACTATGCATCAGCAAAAAGTATGAAACTCTTAAGGTGGAGTTGGGTTGAGGACCTGGTATTGGCTAGCTGTTGAGAGACCTCGAGGCGGGTTTTGACCTGCTCGGAGATGACACCAGCTGCTAGGAACCCGACCCAGGCCAGACCTGCCCCAAGTCCGAACCGCCGGGTCAAGCTTGAAGCTATCCAGTCAGTGCTATCTGCTGTCTTTGTGGCTGCAGGCTTTTTGCTGTCATTGTTACCAGCAGCTGGCAGTGGGCTACCATTGGAATCAGAAGAAGGGGGAGTTTGCTGAGATGACAATGGAGGATACGAAGAATAACTGTTGCTGGTGATGTTGAAGCTACGTGTTGTAACTGTAGTTAAAGTAGTGGTTCTTGTTGCGGTGAAGGATTGGCCTAGAAATGGGTGCGCTCCAAATATGGAAGAAGTCATCCTTTTTCTTCTGCTACAGCTGCTGCTTTCCTCCACCCAAACTAACCATCTCTTTCTTGTGAATATATATGCATCTAACTATTCTATTCTATGGCATAGACTGGATTTCGTGTCCCCACCTTATCCTGTTTCTTTCCTTTTTCTCCCCTGCTCAATTCGAACGTTTACAGTAGTCAATAAGTGACCATAAAGTACAACAAACAACACATTATTTGTTCAAAATCTAGTTATCTAACCAAAGAAGGGAAAGAAGAAGAAGAAGAAGAAGAAGAAGAAGAAGAAGAAGAAGAAGAGGATATGTGAGCTGCTTATCTGGTATTCATTATTGTAACTGAGAACCTGTGCAAAACGATTTACATTTATCCCATTGGGAGCTGCTTCAACCTACCAAAACTCACTCTGCTGTCATCTTGATGACCACAGGAAACCCAAAAACCGAAAACAAAATCCAGCAGCCGCCACAAATGACAATATATATAGGCAGTTTCAATTGAGAGCGTTTCAGAGACAAAAGATATACAAACATTGACAATGGATGATGATTCATTCCACTGCACATCAATAGGATCGCAACATAACACGGTGAAGAATCCAGAGTTCAGAATCATCTCATACTCTTTACTTTGCTTTCGCTCTATTAGCCACGTTCACATCTCCTGCTGATCTCTTTCTTTGCCCTGGTTTCGCTTGGCCCATCAAGACCGCGGAAGCTGTGTTGCTGCCTTCAACACTATCTTGAAACTGCAATTCCCACCATGTTTGAACTACCCTGCTGCCTGATATTCTCCTTGTGGAGATTGACCCTTGCTCTCAGCTCCAACAGCTCTTGTAGCATGCCTATGCCCTTGCGCGCTGCCAGTTATAGGCTTCTGCAGTGGCTTCAAAGCTGCCATGATCTCTCCAAATGTCGGCCTCAGTTTCGGATCACTGAAAAATAATAATAACGTCATCATTTCTCTTTAACTACTGGGTTACATGTCAAAATGAATTGTGATTCTGAACACGGAACAAGAACATGGTCTTGCATTTACTCACGTCTGCCAGCATCTCAGGATAATATCTGCAACTGCAGGATCCATATCGTTTGGAATCTCAAGTCGTCGGTGTTGGAACCCCACAGCACCAACAACCTGCATAGGGTTCATTCCTCCCCATGGTTGTTGCATTGTACATAGCTCCCAAAGTATGACCCCATAGCTATAGACATCACACCTGATGCATAGTTCAGTCACATCTCGGTTAAAGATATGAGAGCACAAAAAAATATAGGAGAAAGGGGATATGTCAAGAACTAACTGCATACTTCTCGTCTGAAGGTTCGTTCCTTAGCACTTCTGGAGCCATCCACTCGGCCTGATGTATTGTGAACAAAAAAACAAGTTTTTACGTGCCGACCAGTGACTACTGATATTGCAAATATCTGAACTTGGGGGAGATCAAATGAAAAGAAAAGGGGTTCAGTTCAAGAGAAGAGCTTACAGTTCCAGCAGCTGACCTTGAAGAGAGAAATGTGCTGTGTTTCATTCTCGATAGACCAAAATCGCATACCTTCACAACCCAGTTTTTATCAACCAAGAGATTTGGAGACTTCAAATCACGGTGCACAACAACTGGGGTGCAGTTGTGTAGATAATTCATTCCCCGAGCCTAAAAATCAAGTTATTTCATTACTAAAAGCAAATCCAGATGAACTCAAGCCGAAAAACTCGAAGCAATAATATTAGAATCATACTGTATCAAGTGCCATCCTCAATCGCCTTCTCTCATCCAATTGGTTGTTAGGCCGGTGAAGTAATCTATACAAGCTACCTCTGCAAAAAGAAAAATAAAAACAGATAAAAGAGGGCCTTCACCAATGTATTAACAGCACATTTAGTGAGAAAGGTCTACGTCTGGAGAGCTGTTGTCCTTCTATATAGGCAAGAATAGTTACGACCAAACCTAAGTAAAGGATAATAACTTTTTCGTTCAATGTATAGCTTGCACATTAAGCACACCTTGGAAGAAACTCTGTAATAATAGAAAGATTAGGAGCACGTGTCACTGCTCCCATGAAGAGAACCACGTTGGGATGCCTAAGTCGCTTCATGATTTGAACCTGGCATGTCATATCGCACCCATAAGAAAGTGAATTTCTGCACATTGCATTTCTTATAAATGAATGAAACATGAAAACCAAAATCATTGACCTTAATCTTAAATGTGCAGCTAAGGTTGGCAAGAAAATTACCAAAAGTATGATACTTCAAACAACTACGATAACCATTAGTGTCAAAACACAAGCATATAAGAAAACCCTCCCTTTATGTGCCAAGTGGACGTGAGAGACTGAGAGATAAAGAAACATTCTCGGATGTAAGAATTGTGTGACCTCATACCTCGCTCTTAAACTCTGTTAACGATTCCCCAGAAATATCCTGATTTAGGAACCTCTTCACCGCAACTTCCTATAAAGATGCAGCAATAAAGACATACACTCATTAGCACAGTAAACATATCATGGAAACTGTTGATGAACATTCAGTCCACTTGAATTATTTCAAACAATTCAAGAATTAATGTAAGGAGGAGTGAACTACATGAAAAGTCTGAAATTGCTACTTCTGAGAAATCTAAGAATCCAAGTTCACATAAGAATTCATAGTAGAAGATAACAGAATTACAAGCCTTCGGTCTGGTGTGCCAACAGAATTCAACTTCTTAGCAAAATGGATTTTAAAGGGCTCAATCTATATAATCCCCGCAGGTATGCTCCCTGAATCATTCCAGATCTAGAAAATAGCAAATGAAATTTGAATCATAAGGTAAATACTCACAGTTCCATGCCACTCTCCATGGTAGACTTCCCCATATGATCCTGCAACATAAATTATCCAGCAATAAGAACAACCAAACCATAACAAATATCATCTGGTACAAGTTGAAACGATAGCATAATTAAGAGCCAGTACCAAGTCCAATGCGTTCGCCCAAGGTAATTTCTTCCCAAGGTATCTCACACTCTGCAACATCATCAAGATTAATATCTGGCCTCGGGCTATCATTACCTGTTGATCTGTCAGATATTCTCTCTCCTTCCAAATTCACCAAAATGACATCATGTTCTTGGCCCCCACTACCCCGGCCCCCACTACCTCGGCCCCCACTACCCCGATCCCCACTTCCCCGTTGCTCATAGCCAGTACTATCTGTATCTCCATCACTTCTTACACCATGATCGTGCTGCTTCTTGCTGACAGCAGCAGTTGTTGCCACTACAGCTGCTGCAGCAGCAGCAACAGGCAATTCCAAGTTTGAGACAGGGCAGCAAGCAACCATCATAGAAGATGCAACAACCGCTGCTGCAGCTGCTGCTGCAGCTGCAACAGGAACATTTTCCACATATTTCCCAGGACTTGCATCACACTCTGATGACATAACGAAAGGATGGTTACGTTGCTCGGTTTGACCCTGAGCATAAGAAGTTGCATTAGAATGTCCCTTGTACTGAGGCAGAAGCGGAAAATATCGAGCAGGACTAGGCTCGTCCACCATGGATACTGTCTCCGGAGATGATAGTCTTAACTGTGCCGAAGTTGCTCGGGATTGCATTTTATAGTGAGGCAGAGGTGGCAAAAACCGAGCAGGCCCAGGATCATTGTTATCCTGCATTTGCTGGGTTCCAGTTCTATGTTTCGGGTCTTCATCATCTTCCATCACAGACTTACCCTCAGTTGGTGGCAGGCTCAACTGCTCAAATTCTGTAAACAAGCTAGGTGGTGCATTAACACCACTTTCTACCAGCACATCATGAAGTTTCTGAGCCAACTGTGGATTCTCTTTTGCAGCATCAATCATGTATCTCGAGACATCTTTCACTTTCTTCTTACGTGCTGCAGGAGAGCTTATCCCTTCAGTCCATGAAGGTGATCTTGCATGTGCATAAGGGAGATTATGCCTGCCAGAAGATCTGGCAATATCATCTGGGGCAGACCTGGATCCTTCATTTCCTTTAATTCGAAACCTAGAGTTCAAAGATTCATGAGCTTCAACTTTATCATCGTCACTTCGAGTACTTGGAGCAGTAGAGTCGTTTCTACCCCTGGATCTCCTTTCGAGGGTCCCAGAGACTGAAGAACTTGCCACTCCACTACTAGAGGAGGCCAGATGAGATGAGTCGATATCTCTAGACAAAGGGCTAGCAGAGAAGAAAAGGTCACCATACTCCATGTTTAATCCAGCTGCATCAGAAGGAATCAGAGTCCCAGGATCTGCCATCAAATCAATAATGTACTCCCTGAAATTTGAAGTTATCTATCACCATGACGATAATTCTAAAGCATCTTACAATTAAGAGAGCGGCAAGACCATATTGTACCCCACCATTACAAAGTTATCCAACATTTTATTCTGGAAGTTATGTACAAGGAGAAGGAGGAATGTGACGCAATTACCTCCCATCATCAAGTTTCACGAAGTTCATGACCACATCATCTGAACCAGTGAACTGATGTCCTTTCACCAATCGACTTGGTATGCCAACATTATCAGCTAAAACCTAATTAGCCATGAAGAATTAGTGAGTAATGGAACATGTGGAAAATAATGTTTAGAAGGCCGGACATATTTAGAAGGCAGCAAACTCTTTTTTTCAGCCAAGCAGCGGTTCTACTAAAGAAAGCTGCATGTTGAAACCAACATGAGGGTTCTTTTCTCAAAGATTTCAGAGTACTGAGTCTTCACTATTACAATAACAATGTAAACATATTTTGTAACTAACAAGGACGAAGCTAATTAATCAAATTCGTCACCTGCAACAGATCTTCAAATAGAAGTATAAGGATGGCTGCAAAAAAGGAGAAATTAAGCAGATTGCAAATCTGGGTAACAAACTGGCATTGGGACAACAAGTTCCCAGTTCTACAAACAGGCATGGCATCTTGTACATATCGCAGTGACTACTGATTCACTAAATTACAAAACTAGATATATGCATGCGGTAACAACATGAGCGACATGATAGCATTAGACATTACGTGCAACATATGTTGACAGTGTACATACATATCACATTATAGCACCTAGACATCAAATACCAAAGTCATAGTAAAAATGTGGATAGCGTACCTTAAACATCAGTGCGCGATGACGAGCCATTCCAATTGTTAAAGATCCTAAGGGCAAAACCATGCTGCCTAGTGTTACTTTCAAACTGTAGCTAAGACGGCGCCATGCTCTTGACATGTTCTCAGGATCTCCAACTGATCCCCCCATGTAGTTAGAAACTAAAGAGGCTAGTTTCTTGACTAAATGGCTATCTGCAAAAGCCACAGATTCTGACCTCAACTTGCCAGCAATTCCTTGAGCCTTCTGTTCAAGTTTCAACAGATTTGCATCAGCAGTCCTGTCAACCAGCACTGCCTCCCAAGTAATACTTTCTGTGACTGGTGTTCCTTGCAACTCAACCAGGGAAGGCATTCTGTCCGATTGGGAATCGGTCAATATTCCATACAAGTCATAAAAACCATCCAAGATCTTGTCATCGTAGCTTAGAGCATTGTAATTCTGTGAATCATGCATAATTTTATAATATGAACTGGATTAGAAAAAAAATACACACGTGGAAAAGAAGAACAAGGTAAATTGACTATTTGCCTATAAAATATAAATACATAATTTTTGCTGGTTAGTAATATAGAAACCTTACTGTCTACAGTATCCTCAAATCAACATGCTCTAGAACTCATGCAACTACATAGTTAGAAAGACTGCAGGTACTAAAGAGATGCAAAATGCACAAGTCAACAGTAACCTATTAAAATTTACAGTCTTCTCTTCTGCTCAGTGGGACCAAAAACTGCTCAGTAACTTACAATAACAACACCATCCCTTTAAATTGACCATGAGTTAAAGGTCTGGGCATCAGTTGATCTGCTATGTGTCATCAGAACGATCAAGATAAGCATTAAAGCAAAAGATAGTTAAGAACTATATCCTGACTGCTGTAGTGAAGAAACCACTTAAGAAACTATGGCCTGCTGAATCGGGGTTGTTGGATTTCAGTTGTGTAACAAATTTGTACCTATGAGGCTATGACACCAAAAGCCTAGCAACATAGTGTACCTAAAGAAAATAGAAGCCTGCACTATAAAATGGCAGTAATACCACGATCTACCTCATCCTTATTCAGTCTAGCCAAAGTTAGCGTGATTCCTACAGTTTGTTACAATTAAATTTCCCACATTTCCCTTTTGCTTGTTTTATTTATACCCTAATCTACAGGTCATGATTTGAGGGAACTCACACCTTTCCAACTGAAAACAAATAATGAAAGCATTATAAAGCGCAACAGAACATGTCCTTCCAAAATTATCATGCACTCTGCGCTACCAGATTGGTGTGATTTATTCACTCCCATCACGAAATGATTCAGAATAACTGAGTCCTCAATATGCAAAATTCTGACAGTACCAAGTGCTTTTCTGAATCATTTTTTGTTTCCTGGCTTGCCAAGCTCTTACAGCATAAAATCATAAGCACCAATGGAATTCCCTAAGCTTCCTGCACTAACAGGGCCATAGAGCCACAGCATTCATGCATAAACGCCACTGCAGTAAAACCAGTGAGGCCATGGAATTGCAACTAGACATGGGATGATCTCACGATCCGTTCCAGCCTATTGCATTTTCCCAAAAACCATCCCATTTGAATGTGTAAGAACTGTGTCCAAACAATGAAACCAAACTTTCCGAGCAGAATACAGGGGGTGAAGATGGAAGAGCCGAAAAACATCTTACCCAGTAACGGTAAGCAACAACCTCAGCAGGAGTGCTCTCAGGATCAGAAGAGCCTAAGCTTATCTGCTTGACAGCTTCAATTTGAGCTGCCTCGGGATCCTCAATTGCACTCATCTCTAAAGCCAGTTGTATTTGATATTCTTCATCCATATTACCATTACCAAGACCTCTAGAAGCTGCAGAGCCCGAATCACGCACCATTGCATTAGAAGATGCAAAATCAGAAGCAGCACTACTGGAAACTGAATCAGATGGCTTCATCCTCTCTCCCCCTCTAGACGCATTCGAAGAAGACGGCGGGCTAGGACTCTTTCTATTAGTAACCGAATTCAACCAATTCGAAAGACCTGAAAAGGGTTTGCTGTCATTGGACTTGGGCTGCAAAAGCCTTTCTGCCTCACTCAAACTCAACCTACTTCCTCTTGATGAAGTCGATCCCCCTTCTGATGTATTTTCTGGCTGATTAGACGCACTATGAAGCTTCTTAAAAAGATTCCTCATGCTATTCCACTGACCTACCTCAAGCATTCGATGCTAAAAGAATAGAAATCTAGCCTTAAACCTCTCCATCTTATGCAACCAGCATGAACTATGAATCACCACAATCCAAGGAAAGCACGCCCTTTTTCCCTGATCCTAACCAACTACTCGAGCCCAAATTGAAGAAGGCCAATTCCAAGCAATACCCAGCTCAGCTCTGCCTGTATCACGTTGACCCAGCTGTTCGAATTGAAAGATGGGGAGCTTCCTGACTTTGATTAAAGAAGACAGCAGCACCCTTACTCTTGAAGCTAACGAAGCAGACGAGAATTGCCAAGTCAAACAGGCATTAATACATTCATGCAGAAGGACCAGGAACACTGAACCCCAGCAACAGGATACGATCTAAATCGCTGAAGATTAGAGAGACCAATTCATAAAAAGATTTGATCTTTCGATAGACAAGAGAGGAAGAAGAAATGGGAATGGGGAAAAAGGAGAGAAGGGGGGTATGGGGTTAGTTTTGAAAAAAGTAATAGATGCAGGCAGAAGAGCATAGGCATAGCCAGCAGAGCAGAGACCAAGAGCAGCAACAAGTGGGAGAGATGTAGGACCTCAGATATCAAAATAAGAATAAATAAAAAATTGAAGGACTGACTCTGTCCCATTTGTGGAGTGTTTTTTCATTTGGTAAGAACAATTTTGTAAAGTATCTAATTGTTTTCCATTTTATTTGTTTCCTCTCCATTGAGATTGAGGGGTTACTTTCTTTCTCTCCCTTTTTATTTTTTTTGGGTTGGAGGCATTGCATTTGGAGTTTGAACCCATGACTCCGTGAGAAAACAAACAAAATAAAACCTCTGAAGTAGGGTTGCTTTGGACGCAAGACAAGGAAAACATGGGGATTTTTTTTTCATCATCCATTTTGTCCATAGTGCCTCTCCTCAAAACAAATTTACTCCAACAAAATGTCTGTTTGATAAGTAAGGGGGAAATGAAGTATTTTGATCATTAGCTAATACATAATGTCGAGTCCGGATCTGGTGACTAAGGGGGGTCCTTAGTCACTTGACTAAGCCCCCCTCAGCCATTGGATTGATCTGATGGTCCAGATAACTCCATTAATTATTATTAAATAAGAAGGGTAGTTTTGGTATTATCAATAATTTATTAACTCCTATTTTTTAGTTTTGTTTTATTTATTATTGAATTCCTCTGCAACACGTCTCTTACTTTCCCTTTTGTGATGTAGAGAGAGAGAGAGAGAGAGCCATGGCGGAGGAAACAGGAGGCAACGCCGGCGGATGAGAGAGAGAAAGAGAAAGTCGACTATCTCGACGGCGCCGACGACGGTGGAGAGAGGGAAAGGAGATCGCGATTTTTCCTCCAGCCTGTCTTCTTCTGCGTAGCACCGCCGCCCATGAGAGAGAAGCGCTGCAGCGGGGGAGAACGCCGGCGATGATGGAAGAGAGGGCGGCGACGACGACAATGGAGCTCTCGACGGTGCCGGCGACGACAAAGAAAGGGAAAGGAGAACGAACGTGACAGAGGCAGCAGCTTTGAAGAGAGAGAAAGCAGATCTCGTCGTCGTCGGGAAACCAGAGGAGAGAGAGAGAGACGATGGTGGAGGATAGAGGCGGCGGAGAGAGAGTGTCGGCGACAATGGAGGAGAGAGAGGCAGCGCGACGATGGAGAGAGAGAGAGGTGGCGACGGCTGTAGAGAGAGTCGGCGGCATCGGCGGCTACAGCGGCGGTGGCGGTGGAGAGACATCGTATACGTCATTTGAAGGAAGAACAGTGATTTGTATAGTTTGTATGTTTTGTAACATTAGTTTGTATTGTTAGTATGTTTTGTACAAAATGTCAGTATGATTTGTATAGTTTGTATGTTTTGTAATATTAATTTGTATACTTTATATGTATTGATTTGTGCTGCAAATCACGTCGCTTTGTATTGTAAGTACTAATAATTTGTATACATTATATGTATTGATTTGTGATGCAAAAAACAATACAAACATGGTTGACAAAAATGACAAACATGTGGACAAAAATAACAAACATTACAAACAATACAAAAGAAACCAACAAACATTACACACATTACAAAATAACAAACATTACAAACATTGAAAACAAACATTACAAACATTACAAACAAACATTACAAAGCATACTACACGTACAGAATATCACTACTTACAATACAGATGGGTAAACTTGTATTACAAACAAATGAATATAAAGTATACAAATCATAACATAAAAGTATACAAACTTGAATAACAAAAGTTACAAATACAAATCAATGAATAGAAAGTGTATAAATCATAACATAAAGTATACAAACTAGACAAACAAACATTACAAACATTACAATGTATACAAAATAGTAATATAAACATTACAAACATCACGAACTCAATACTGTTGCCGGAAATGTCAGTATGGTTTGTATAGTTTGTATGTTTTGTAATATTAATTTGTATACTTTATATGTATTGATTTGTGCTGCAAATCACGTCGCTTTGTATTGTAAGTACTAATAATTTGTATACTTTATATGTATTGATTTGTGATTCAAAAAACATTACAAACATGGTTGACAAAAATGACAAACATATGGACAAAAATAACAAACAATACAAAAGAAACCAACAAACATTACAAACATTACAAAACATTACAAAATAACAAACATTACAAACAAACATTACAAAGCATACTACACGTACAGAATATCACTACTTACAATACAGATGGGTAAACTTGTATTACAAACAAATGAATACAAAGTATACAAATCATAACATAAAAGTATACAAACTTGAATAACAAAAGTTACAAATACAAATCAATGAATATAAAGTGTATAAATCATGACATAAAGTATACAAACTAGACAAACAAACATTACAAACATTACAATGTATACAAAATAGTAATATAAACATTACAAACATCACGAACTCAATACTGTTGCCGGAAAATCATCCACCACCGTCTCTGGTCGCCGGAAAACTGCTCCGCCGTCGCCGGAAAAGTTGACAAGAACTCTCTCTCTCTCTCTCTCTCTCTCTCTCTCTCTCTCTCTCTCTCTCTCTCTCTCTCTCTCTCTCTCTCTCTCTCTCTCTCTCTCTCTCTCTCTCTCTCTCTCTCTCTCTGCGCCACCAGGGGGGAGCCAAATAATTGCAATGGCAATTGGCAGGACACTCATGGCGCCGTGGGGAATTATGGCGCCGTGGGGAATTATGGGCCGCCGGCGAAACCACGGGAGTGAAGGATCGGCCGGCGGGAAGGTTCGGAAGTCTCTGGAGAAGAAAACGCAGGCCGCGCGGAGAAGGGAAAGGATCGGGCTGAATTTTTATTTATTTTAATTGGTAAATAAAAATTAAATAATTAAATTACTACATTGCCCTTCATTAAATTGGATTAATCAGGGCCATTGGATTTTAATGAGATGGAAGGGCTGAGATTCACTTAGTCACATGACTAAGGGACCCCCCCTTAGTCACCTGATCTTAGCCCCATAATGTCGCATTCGAGTCGATTGTAAAATTTTGTAACGTTATTTTAATTTTAAAACATATTTTTTTTTGTCTATATATTTTTTGGCCCATCATAACACATAATAACTTTAGAATTAATTCATTTACCTTGTTCCACTTAGCATTCTTTAGTGAAAGTTAAAGACTGTTCTTTTTAAAAATGAATTGTTCTTATTGCACCGATGAAAACAACAAATACTATCATTGGAAGTATCATAATAATTAATTTATAATAACTAACACGTGGGCTGATTAATATAAAATAGTTTTTGTACACAAAATCAATACTTCCTATTGCAACACTTGTTATTCTTTTGGAGATATAGAATTTCAGAACCAGGGATTTCCTCATCTGTTCGTCTTCATCTATTCGGACTTATATCTTACTCTTACGGGTATTAACTTATTCATGTGCAACATGAACATGAAGTAGAGTCTAGAGTATGTGTTGATTTATTTTCCCACTTTGATTGTTATGTTCTAAATTCGCCCGTTTGAGAATATGAGTTCTCAATAATATTTATGTTTTTCTTCTTCTATTTTGACTTCTCTACATCAGATTTTAAAAGAAATTGATGTTGATGTCATAGAGGGTTCAATTGAGGATGAAGGAGATGACGATTCAACACCTTTGGAACCGGCCACGCGAATGGAAGCACTTACAGCCACATCGACTCTTCAAAAATACTTCATGCAATTAGAGAAGACAACACCGAAGACTTTGAGTGTAATAAATAAAGTTCAAAATGAACTTTTATTAGACTTGAACTTCAAGAATAAACAAAAAACTATATATTCATATTTTTCTAGATTATCCTAGATGTATTATAAATATGTTGATGAATTTTATTTTTATAATTATTAATTTATAGAGTTAAACATACATGTATTTATGTAGACTAGTCTACAAAAATATTATTTTATTATTATATTAAATTTGCTCATTTTTTACACTGACCCAAGTCAGGACCGGAGAAATTATTAATTTATACTATATTATTAATTTATCAATTATTAATTTAAATAGATTATACTGTATAAATTTATGGAAAATCATTTGAGGACAATGGTATAGACTAGCAATACAGTGTCTCAAATTTTTGTTCCAAAATATATGGAAGTTGATGTATAATTTTTTCTGTGCAAAAGTTTTTTGATTTCCTACCTTAAACGAAAGAGTTATAACCAGTTAAATAAATTTGGAGAAAATGTTAGGCATAATCACTAACCAACACAAGTTACTGACCGTATCATCTCCCCATATTTTATCTCCCCTTATTTTATTCGACATGTGCTTCTTTGTTTTAAATCAAATTTTTTTTATCTTTTTTAACAGACGAAACGAATTTGTTGCGATCTACGAAGCGATTTTTTTTTTTGACAAAAGATAATCATATATTGATTCAAAAGAAGATAGTTACATCCTGGAGCGAAGCCAGGCCTGAAAATCAAACAATCGACAAGGAGCCGGGTACAAAGTAAGAGCCTTTCTAGCCACCACATGGGCTACCCTATTGCTATCCCGACCTACAAATCGAATACTAAAACCTACATGAAAACCTAGGGCTGCTGAATTATGTTTAACAGTCTCTTGAGGAAGAGAGGAAAAGTATGGCAGGGCAAGCCTTGCCCCAGATGTTCCAGCCCCGAGTAGTCCCACAGGGCCAGGGCCACTGGACAGTCTAGGAACAAATGCTCCAACGTTTCCGATGCCCCCCAACAAACCGGGCAACGAGGGAGAACACCTTCAACTTGGGAGGGATGTTGGCCTCCCAGATCATAATCTAGCTAGCTCTATCCATCCAACTGGCCATAGACCTCCACAAGCCAGTCCTTCTATCCATATCAACATCTAGATGATAGGCTGATTTAACAGTAAACGTGCCATCAGCTGTACCATGCCAGATAAGTTAGTCCTCCACAGAGTGTCTTGGCAGAGGAATAGCTTTGATGCGGCGGCAGGTTGGGGGATCAAACCACTGGCCCAACTTGGCATCACACCAACCTCCCCAACATTCGGATCCAGAACGTCCTCCACCCGAGGATCACCCCTCACCGGAAGCACTTGTGGGTTAGCCACCGAAAGGTCAGGGTGGATTTGTGGAATCCAATTCGACCAGAGTAGTGACGCCGTTTTTCCATTCCCAATCTGCCACCGAAGGCCCTTCTCAAGCAATTCTCTCCCAAACAACACACTTTGCCAGCCCCATGAAGGCCGAGAGCGTGCAGTGGCTTGAAGAAAACTCCCATTCGGAAAGTATTTACCTTTATATACCTGCGGCAACAGGGAGGTGGGTTCATTGAGGATGCGCCATCCAATTTTAGCCAGTAAGGCCTGGTTAAACTGTTCAAATCGGCGGAAACCCATCCCCCCATCATGTTTGCTGCGACACATATTACGCCAGGAGACCCAGCGGATTCGTCACCCCACCAGAATCTGGCGACATGTTTGTTAAGCAATCTACAAAGGGACAAAGGCAGCTTGAAGCAAGCGATATTCATTTTTGATATATTACGAATTTTTTTAATATCATCATTACCACTCGTTATCATCTGCTACCACCCGGTACTACTCTGTACCATGTTTGTTTATAACTCAAATTCAGAAAACTTTTTCATAGAAGAAACAAATTTGCTGTGATCTATCATGATTTACAAAGTTATTGGGAAAATTTTTCAGGACCAAATATACCACCATACACCACCCTGGTATATAGTGATAATTGTAACTGCAGTAGACGATGGTGAAATATGATAGACTATGGTTAGTATACTACTATTATCATGTATACAACTATTTTACATTATAATATACTCACACCACCATGGTACACTTCACATACCACTATGATATAATCGTATGCATGTACTACTAAACATTATCAATATAGTATAGAGTATAGACTGGTAATTCATGCCTCAAACTTTTGTTAGAAAAATTGAATTTCCACTTAAAACAAACAAATTTGTATATCCCATTAAATTTAAATGGAAGAGTCCCATATATTTGCACGCGATATTCAAAGTATACAAGTAACTTTTCGTCAAAGTACTAGTAAAAAAATGCATAAAACTAAGACAATATAATTTAGACCTTCCAATCCCAATTACTGGGCTTAAACCCAGACCATGCGCATGCCAATTCCTACTAATTGGGCCCCATCCCCAGCCCACTGCATCACCATGTT